TCCAAGTTTCAATCTTTTGTATATTAATTATTCGATTAATTCAACACATCCTATCCATTTGTAAGGTTAATTTTAAGGTATTAGTTAAGTTGAAGTATTTTTTTTCTTTTATTCTCAATTAAACTCCTATAAAAACCATGTTTACCATCAAAGCACTTGGAGTGTACTCATTTGAAAGCAGAAAGGAAAGATCAGCAGTCACGACCATGAGGTGAAGAAGGTGACTTTTTTTGGTCGGTTGTCTTAATGGTAATTTAATCCCAAATTAAAAGAGAACGTACCTTAATTATTTGACCTAATTAATCCTAATGATTAAAGCAATCTAACTTTTGGTGTGTGGCTTTTGGCGTAGTAGCATCTTTCACTTGTCCGTGTCATTCCACAACGTGTTTTAAGGATTGGATGTTAATTACATAGCCATATCCTAAAATTCTCTCCCATGTCCGTTAGCATTTGTAAAGGAATCAAAACCCATTTAATTGTTTTCCTTTTACTAATTCATTAAGTTGCTCATTTACCAAATCAAATACTTTTTAGAAAATGGTTTTTGAAATCACATCCAATCGCATGCAATTGTTGATCTTTTTAAAATCTCGTGTCGATGTAAAAATCATTACACCGTATTTGATTATGAATTATTATATATTTTAAAATTTATTTTTATGATTTATTTATTTTTTATAAAAGACATAAGATTAAATTATAAAAACAAAACCCAAAATAGATAATATTTGGTATTACACAAGTAAAGGGTACACTCCTTCCTTTACCATATAACTTTTCCCAAATGATAAAACTTAAAAAGGAGAGGTCCAAAAAGGACAAAATATCTTGCATCAACACCCCCAAATGAGCCATTTCACCATATTGAAAATGAAGGCTCCTTTTTTTCACTTTGGCCTACAATTCTAATTGAGCATGAAGGTCAAGCTGTCCTTTTTCTCTTTCTTTCCTGTTCTTTTTTCCAAGTGTTAGGACATAAAGGTGCGCCCCATTAAAATCATCAACATCCCACACATTTTATGTACGAAATCATATGTATTGAATTGTTAGCCTTTTTTACCCCTCAAGGTTCTTTTTACATTGAATTGAATTGATCATCATGTTTTTGTTGAATTATACGTATTAAAATAATAATTTTAATTATTTATAATTAAATAAATACATGTCAAACATTTAACATTAATATATGATAATTTAATGCAAGAGCAACATGCTATATTTTATGAAGAGTCAAAATTAGAACGCACTGGGTTATCCTTTAATTTTAGATATTCATATGTAATGCGAAAGCAGATATGGAAAGTGGAAGTTACTTGTACTTGTGGGCAAATGCTATTACCTTGAAATTTACAAGAATTCTTCCCAAGTTGGTTTGTAAAATACTATTTCATCTCGCGAGCTTTCATGGCATGACAAACTGAGCGTACCCTGGAGGCAAGACAGTGTTTTGAGTTTTCCTTTAGCTCAAAGAAACATCTGAATGTGGAATGAATTCCACCCCACGAAATCCTGGCGGCCATTGATCATATAATACAAAACCTACAACCGAGGCCTACGAGGCTAGCCTGAGACAGGGTGCTATAGCCCAAACACAGACCGAGACACGCCCATCAATAATCAAATATTAAAAAAATGTCATTCTGATCCTCTGCATACAAGTTGTTGTTCCTTTTAATTCCTTTGTTTTGCAGGGCTCTCTCTCCCCCTCCCTCTGTTTTCTTTCGATACCTTCCTTCGCACGAGTATGTGCCATCTGCTCTTTTCTTTTTTTTTTTGTTGTTTCTTATTATTAATTTTGCTAATAAAATAAAGGGGCATTGCTGTTACTTTCCTTCATAAGCCCTTGAATGGACGACAGTCAATGATAAACCAATATTGGTAAATGATACAGAAGTATTTTATGTCCATTTGAAAGGATTTGTCTCGAGAGTTCGTGGTAGCCATCATTTTTTCCTTTGCTGCTCCGGTTTAAAATAATTCCGTTTTGCTTCATCTTTGTGGAATCCAGGCTATCCAGCAACACAGCTTTATCACATATTCTGGGAGGGCAAAACAGAATAGGGAAATTGTCATTGATCAGTTTAGTCTTTCAGAAAAGTAATTTTGTCTAACTATGGACTCCTTACACCATTATTCCATGTTTAAAACAAATTTTAAGGCCACCGAGGCTTGGCTACTAGTACTTGAAGGGTTGAAGTTAGTTGTAGACAGTTTCCTATATTAGCATGCAACTTTCCAGGTTCCAAGTTTTCTTCGATTTCCCATCCGGAGCATATATGTAATCCTCTGGAAGTAACAGAAAGTTAAAGTTGCCCCAAACTACTCACAGACTAAAGCATTACAGTCTCAAGAATTCTCCTAGAAAACTATCTAATTCACAATTCAGTCATGGAAGCATTTCTTCTCTTGTTTCACCTCCTCCTTCTAGGCCTTGTCCATGCAGAAATCAATTTTACGTACAATGGGTTCCTTAAAGCAAACTTGACCTTGGATGGGGCTTCACTTGTCAAGTCCGATGGGATATTGGCATTAACAAATGATTCAGTGCGGCCTCTTGGGCATACTTTCTATCCATCTGCTTTACGATTCAAGGAACGCGATCCGAACAACAACAGAACTGCTGCTGTTACATTTAGCACAAACTTTGCATTCTCTATCATTCCGAAGTACCCTGATCTTGGAGGTCATGGTTTTGCCTTTGTTCTCATGCCCACAAAAAGGCCAAAGATAAGTCTTGCAAACCAATATTTGGGCCTCTCGATTGACACCAGCAATGGTCAGATACTTGCTGTGGGTTTGATATAGTCCAAAATCTTGAACTCCAAGACATCAATGATAACCATGCAGGAATAGACACGTCCAGCTTGATATCCAACATATCAGAGCCAACTGCTTACTATTCCGCAGATGCTAGTGACATCAATGACAACAGGAACAACTCAATCATTCTCAAGAGCGGAAAACCCATTCGGGCATGGATTGACTATGACAGCAAGGAGATGTTGATGAATGTTTCAATATCTCCTCGTGGCATGTGAGACCCCATCGCCCTTTGATATCATTCCCCATTGATCCCTCATCTGTGTTAGATGAGGACATGTATGTTGGCTTCTCCGGTTCTACTGGTATTCTGACAGCCTTACATTATTTGCATGGCTGGAGCTTTAGCATTGGAGGAAGGCCACAAGATTTAGATTCAAGAAAGCCCCCATTTCTCAAGACAAAGTCTCGTGAAGTGGTGCACAGGAAGGGATTTGCAGTTGGTATCACTTTAGCAAGTGTTACACTGGTTTTCCTACTGATCATCGCTGCTATTCCCATCGTCCGTAAAATTAGAGATTGGGGATGAGAATCTGGAGGATTGGGAAATTGAATATGGAGCTCGGAGATTCAAGTATTCTGAACTCTTTTCTGCAGCTACGGAGTTTGGAGAGAGAAAGTTCGTTGGTTCCGGAGGGTTTGGGAGAGTTTATAGGGGGGTGATCCCTAGTACAGCGCTAGAAGTGGCAATTAAGCGGGTGTCTAGTGGTTCTCGTCAAGGAATGAAAGAAGTGGCAGAAATTACAAGCATGGGACGACTTAGGCAGCGTAATCTTGTACAGTTACATGGCTGGTGCCGAAAGCAGGATGAGCTCCTCCTTGTTTACGATTATGTCCCCAATGGGAGTCTAGACAAGCCTTTGTAGGAAGATGGTCCCCTGAAGGGGAAAAACCTTACTTCGGACCAACGGTACAAGATTTTAACTGGTGTTGCTCAAGCATTGCTTTATCTCCATGAAGAATGCAATCAAAGAGAGGTTCATAGAGATGTCATGCCAAGCAATGTCCAGATAGATGAAGACCTCAATGCAAAGCTTGGAGATTTTGGCTTGGCCAGAACTTATGAACATGATATCAATCCACAGACAACCCACATTCTAGGTACTCTAGGGTGTTTGGCTCGAGAACTTACAAGGACTGTGAAAGCCACAACAAGCACTGATGTCTATGGTTATGGTACGCTTATGCTTGAAGTTGCCAGCAGAAGGAGGCCAATTGAGCCCTAGAACAATGCTAAGGAGCTGCTGTTGGTGGATTGGGTTAGGGAGCTGCATTCTCAAAAGAGATCACCGGAGCCATTGATCCCACGCTCGACAATTATCATTCAGGTGAAGCTGAGCTTGTGCTTACCATTGGTCTTATTATGCTGTCATCCCCATCCTGACTACAGGCCCACCATGAGAAGAGTTGTGCAATTTCTACTTGAAGATGCCATCCTTCCTCCTCTGTCCCGAGATATTCACCTGGGAGTCCCTATGGCAATACCAGAGTACTCAGGTAGCTTCCCTGTTGATTCTGATCCTTGCCAAAGAATGGCTTCATCCCAAAGTAATAGTTCACAAGCTTCGACAAGAAGCTTTCCTCAAGTAGTACTACAAGAGTAACCTTCTAGATACTGTTATGACAAGGCTACCATGACTGTAAAACCCAGGCATGTAGTTCTTGAATAACTTCTAATTGTTGCAATGTATATAGGAGAATTATCTTAAGGGTTAGAAAGAAGAAAAAAAAACCTGAAAGATGATGGTAATGATCCAGTTCACAGATTACCCAGCCATTGAGTTTCTTTATTTGCTTTCAAACATCTTATATTCAAAAAAGCTTCAACGTGTGCTGCAAAATAAATTCCATATGATGTTGATGCCTACCATATAGGATCCACTAGCAGCATCATTTGAAATTTCCATAATAAATGCATGAGTATTGTCGATTTGTGATGAATAACATGGCAACTTGAAATGGTAAGCCAACAAGACCACAGCATCAGAGATCCAGAAATTCAGTCCTTTCATCTTTGAATATAAAGAAAAAAGAAATATAAAATCTGAGTCATTGAGTTAAAAATTGACCGAAGAGAAAAATCACTACTTTAGCATTATGCTGATTAAGAGATCTGAATAGAAAATTCAAATTGAACCAACTTGGAATAGTCCAACTTCAGTGTATTGACAAATGAGTTAGCACATAAACAACTATCCCTGAAAAGAGTTAGGAGCCAGAATCAACTCAGAAAATAAATGAAAGAAAACAAGGCGTCCAAATCTATTTAACTGACTTACAACTGTTATGTTGTCGCACTTAGAGTCTAAAAGGGATACTTTTGGTAAGAGCTAACTGTTTGTGATCCCCAAAAAAGAGAGACTCCTGTCCTGCCCATATCTTTCAATATTGCTGGTTAACAAACTCATTAGTACATGCAAAACAGATCTAAATTTTTGAAACTGAGATTTGAGGATTTTCATAAGACTACCAAACAAAGTGAACAATAGTATCCTGCAGACCCAAGTGATTGATTTTGTTATCCAATTCGGACCCCGTATCAATCAGAACAAGCAGGCGACAAAATTGATATTCGTTGACACGAACTAAGTTGCTGATTTATTACCCTAAATTTCTCTTTAAGCCTCTTAATCTGCAAAATCACCATTCCATATAACAAGTCAGTTTGAGAACAAGCTTGCTCGGATTAACAGTTGTAAGGAAATCAAATAGATGTGGAATACCCTTTTGAGCTCAATCTCTGTATCTCTCTTTTGTTGGCCCAAGGAGTGCCGAAGGTTGGTGATGTCAAATACATTATCCATGTCATCAGCAAATGCAGATTCTAGGTCCTCCCTGAGAAGTGCAGGTAACTTGTCCACAACTGGCATTAGAAGAAAGCAGTTGAACTGCAAAAGGTTTAATATAAACAGTGAGGAAAATATAAAATAAGCAAGACACTCATTAAAATTCACACTGAGCATTCTATTTATATGCACATAGCTAATAAGAAATCAGCTTTGGATGACAACAAGAATAGCACCATATAATTAGAAAGAAAAAAAATTTAAAAAGCAAACCTTTAATTCAGCGGAGGCCAAGAAGTATTCTCTTATACCATGAAATATCTGTTGTACCAATGCGTAAACAATCCTTTCTGATGAAGGACCAAGTCTCCTGTTCCAAAGTGTGCTATCTAGAAGGTCAGCAAGCTTTGTTTCTGCTGTCTGAGCAGAAGAGCATGAATCAATGCCTGAGGATAGATGACTGAGTTTTACATCTGTTCTTGGCTTGGTGTCATGCTTCTCTGTAGCAACTGACTCAGGCAATGACTCTTGAGAAATACCAGGAGACATAGAATTGACTACTGCACTGGACTGCTCTGTTCCACCAAATGAGTCTAAAAAATGACGTAACCCAGCTCGATTCTGCAAATTCAACATCCGCAGTAAGATGAACAGAGCAACAGGTCAGATTAATTAATAGAGTAGAACAATATTCATGTGTCTGGATTTAAATTTAAAAGTTGATAATATGTCCCAATGTGATATGGAACCATAAAAAAATTTTCAAAAAAAGGAGGTACAGCAAAAATAAAATTTCCATGGAAAAAAATTACAGTAGAAGACAAATAATCATAAAATTGGACACAAGCATCAATCACAACCAATTCTACCTTATTAGAATAGAATTATAAGACCTTTTCATTGTAGAAATTTTTTTAAGACTAATTAGTTTAGCTTCACTTGCATGAAATGCATATTGCCTTTTAAGTAACTGACCTTATTGTGGAGGGACCATGTAACATAACGCGTTGTACTCACTAAATCCTCCATGCACCTGCAGCAAATTTCAAATGCTGGGTGATATTTGGTGACTAATAAACTCCATCTTTGTTTTAGTAATTATTAGATGTATTTTTCTAGTAACTTCAAAATTTGACCTAATATTATTTAAGTTAAAAAAACGAAAAAATAACAGTGCATCAGATTCACTGCCGATTTAATCATACATTTGAGTCAACACTAAGACCCAGGCATCATCCTCACCTGTCAGCACTGGGTCATTTTTTTCCCATTTTGACCATAGCTACATCCTTTATGGTTCATGGAGTTCAAAAGATTAATTTAATATGAAAATTATGCTTTCTTTAGAACCATTTACAATCAAATAATTTACAGAAAGTAAAACTGAAACAAATTACTGTACTATGCAAATTGCAATTTATTGTTAACAAAAATAATTGAATTGCAATAGACGAAACTGGCCTACTTCTCACGACAAGCTCTCTCAGTAGATTCAGCAAAGTTGTTGAAAGAGGAAGCAACACGCCTGAGAAACACCTCATGGCCACTTAAATATTCACCATCTTTCTGTTGGAAACCAGGAAACATTAGAAAGGATAGATTATAATAGAAAGAAGTGGAAAACCTAATTATTTGATAATCCTAGATTCTGAAAGCATAGGAAATAAAAACCAACAAAAGCCAAAAGGAACACAAACCTGAAGAAGATAGATAGAGATAGGAAGCAATCTCTTCAGAACGTGCAAGAGCCTACATCCCAACTATACAAGGAAAGGAATATTTCAGTTTGACCATGAGTAACAAATATCAAGCAGCCAAAATCAAACTTTTAATCCACAAGTTTGGTTGTTCATGTGGTGCCCTGTCCCTTTACACCATTATACATCCTCCCTGCTCAATGCCTAGGAAGTAAGAACCTAGATTTCATGTCAGGGATAAGCACATGATGCCTACCTTTTTTTGTCAAATTCTTTTTTCTATAAACAGAATCCTGAGACCACAGCAGTGTGTGACAATCGGACCTGTAACTCCCAAATGACCAAGAGAGATACCTACAATGCAAATGCCCCCAGTTGAAAAGCTTGCCCATTATCTGCCTATTGAAGACCCCAAACTTGCATATTCCTCCCCTAAATGTTAAGTTTCCTATTAACTTTTGGAGCAAAGACTAATTGATTCTAAGATCTAACAATCAGGTTTGTCATCATTTGAAAAAAAATTAAGTTTCGGATTTTCAAGTTCTGTGCAACTTAAATTAAGTCAACGACAATAAAGCAACAGAGAAAGATGAAAAGAAACAGAGTAACTGGCATAAATAGATAGTTAATATTACTTGTCACCTGATGAAGGAAAGGTTCAAAAGTGTCACGAGCCTTTGCAACAGCTATAACACAAGCTGTCCTGATTTCCGAAATAAAAAGATGGAAAAGAAAAAAATTGAGGAAACTATTTATTGCAAATGAGATGGAAAATCAACAATTAGCAGCACAAACATGATAAGCTATAAATGGATCATACCTTGAGTAGTTTGTTCCATCATGAATATCTTCAACTCCACAAGCATTGACAATTTCTTCCCTTGTAATTGGAGGGCATTTTATTCCTCCCACAATAAAACGGAATTCAGCCATGGCACGATGATATTGTGCACCTCCATAGAGACGCATTCCAGAATTCTAAATACCAATGAAACCCACTTCAGCAGAGCTAGCCAAAATTTATTGCCTATAGATTATCATTTACTGTATATATGTGAGGGATTAAGGAAAAAGGGAAAAGGTATTTTAAACCAGGAGGTTAACCGGAAAGATCAACTTAAATTAAAGATTGAAGTGAAAAGGAATTTGGATGATAATGACATAAAACCATAACTAAAACAAGAAATGCAAACAAAATTCCAGTTTGCAAGAATATTCAAAGTTAATCATCTATTTAGCTTACAGGTATTAGCTTGTGTGGCAGTTGAAGGCCATCAGCACCCACAAATGCTCCTCCATTAGTTCTCTCATCTACTAGTGTTTCACCTGCAATATATCAAAACTGTTAATGATCCAACATCACAACCTGGAACAACTAAATTTAAGAAAACAAGTGACATCTTCAATAGAAATATTTTAAGTACCAAATTTATCTGGAGGTGCAACAACTGTCCCTTTTAGCAGCAATGACAACTGCGTAATAAAGCACATTTTAGTCAGAATGCATAACATGAAATGGAATGACAATTTTGAACAGTAGAATGTCAATATCTCATTTGTTTGTGAGAATTTGTACATGCAATTTCACTTATTGAAAGGATCAGTATTTTAAGCCTGAAGCAGACATCTAACAAGAGTAAGCATTCTCATCCCTGACAAGTTGATATGAACTTCAAACAGACCCACATTATTTGCAAAGCAAGGAAAAAAAAAAAAGATATGCATGCAACAGTCAAAAAAGACATGATAGTACAGAGACCTTGGTTAGGAATAGATCGTGAAAAGTTCTTCCTTTTTCTTTCAATTTCACTTCATCCCAAGTGCTGCATATAAAGGAAAGAATGCATACAATTGATTATAGTAAAGGAAAAAGAAATTGAAGGCAATTCAATTACAGATATAGGATACAATCAAGGTCGAGAAAAAGTAAAACCACAAATCAAATATTGATTCCATACTCTGTACATCATCATCTTATTTTGAGCAGTCAAAAGGTTATAATTAAGTCCATCTAAATTTGCGTAAAAGAAAAATGCTCTCAGCAAGTTTAACTACTAACCTTAGCTCCTTATTTATTTCAATTAACTTTCTTGCTGTGCTGCGGTACTCCTTCTCAAGAAGTGGAATGATCAAAGGAACACTATCCATATACCTTGCAAACATATATTTCCCAAAACTTAATTACACAATATAGCAAGTCCCTGCATCCTTGATGTAATTTGATCAGAATGGAAAAAGTGCATACCTTTTCTGTAATAGCTCTTCCAGAAAAAGTCTAAGTTTGCTTACACCTATTCTGCTTCTTTCTTGCTTTGACAATTTTCGGCCTAACTTCTCCTCCAAAGATGCTATGTCTTCCATCTCTCTAGATGCTATTGCCTGCATTTAACAGAACAAATATAAATAAGTTTTAAATTTACTTTAAACCAAACCCAAAGAGGGGGAATGAATGGATCAACTTGGTCTAACCCAATACGTCTAACCCAATACACCATAATATGTAAATCTTTTCTTTAAGTTTCTTTGCTTTATGCCTTACTCAGTCAGCATGACCCTTTATATACTTCCCCAAGAAAACCAGATTATCCACCAGAAAAAGGAAGGAAACAAATATTGATCAGTGTTAACAACACTGAGCACATGGCACAAGTAAAGCAAAAACTTCTCAGAATCACAATCAAGTCTATGGTTTTATTCTAAGCAGATTCTGAGACAAGCTTGGGTGGTTAGGGAAGCAAACCTGTTTAAACTCGTCATTTGATCTGTAAACAGAATCATGCCCAGACCCAACTCTTCCAGAAGGAACTGATGTAAAGAATGGAGAGTCACCCAAAATGAAGCCATCAAGCGTGCATGCAGGTGGGGAGAGAAAAACTTCCACATCTGAAGAACGTGCAAACTGAGGAATTTTGGTGTCGAGCTTGGTAGAGACAATGACAGTTCTCGAAAGCTCTGGATCAATCTAAGTATCAAACAACAAAAGTTAACCTTTGAAACATCACCATAACTGATTTAACCGATTTAACAGCTTCATATCCTTTTTTGGCATTTCCACAAATTGTTCATACAGCAGGAAAACTAAGTAGCTAAAGCTAAGGGTAGTTACAATAAGGAACGGCAAAGATTATGTTTTGCCGCTAAATGACTTAAAAGTATTGCATCAAACAACTCAGAAGTATAAATTGCTTCCACCACTTCTACTTAAGTTCCTTAAAGAATTCACTCCTCAATGCAAGAAAAGAAATTTTTTTTTTTTTTGCTTGTATTTCTTTAAAGGACACCTGATTTGAAGAGTGGTATTTTCACTTTGACCCCTTTAAGAACTAGTAACCTCCCCACATTCTCAACCCGCCCAAGTTAGAACGATGCACAACCAGAAAACTACATACCTTGAGCTAAAAATTCAACACTTAAAGTACTTGACATAGGATAATACATACTTGCATTACAACTCTTCTTGTCATTGCATTACTCCAATCACTACAATCTTCAAGACATAATATAATGAACTCTTTATGCTGCATCTTTGTTCTTACTAGGGCCTCCACTGCACGGGCTTGGCTCTGCTTGAATGTCACACCAACAAAACCGTCACATTGCAAAAATGTACGAAACAAAATTAACTAGAAATACGTTGTGGGTTGGCAAGAAGACCTGCAAAGCACGATTCTTTCGAGCCGGGGCTGGAGCAATAAGCCCAGGAGTATCTATAATAGTCAAATTCGGACAATGTTTGTATTTCACTTTAATGATAATTTCCTTAGCTGAGAATTGACATGGCTCACGTTCCAACCTCATGTTTTCAGCTTCAATATATGCCTAACAGCAAAATCACGTTGATTGATGCATTTTAAAAGTTCAATCTTGAATTGCTACTAGAAAAAAAAATAAAGAACTAGAAAAGAAATTTTAAAACCTGAATTTCGGGGAGAGATTTTTCCTGGGCGAGAGTGGGGTCCTCATCAGAGACGAGATGGCACAATGGGACGTCACAAAGAGGGTCGTACGACATATGGAGCGTGATGGGTCGGCGAGTCTTGGTTCCGCCGCCGACGTGGTTGAATTGGAAGCCCATGAGGGCTTCGACCAACGCGCTTTTGCCGTCCGTTTGGTGTCCTACGACAAGCACCGCTGGCGCGTCGAAGGGAGCCTCCAGTTCTTGAGCTAGACCGTGGAGGTCATTGTAGGCCTCGTAGATAGTAGAGTATGGGTTCAGTGTTTCTTCCTCCATTTTCGGTTTTCTGGTTCTTCCTTGATCCTTGGCGTCTGCTCTGCTTCTCGCAGTAGAGTGAAAGCGGGGAGCTTCGCTTTCAGTTTCGGACGACAGACGAACTGAATGCGTTGCTCGTCAAATCTGCACCGCAATCCCCGTGGATGACGTGCCACATGGCAGCATTTCATTGCGGGCTTTTGATTTTGTTTTTAACAGGAAATTGCGAACGATTGGGACTTCCCGCTAAACTTTTACCTCTTCTTTTAAAATTTTTCGAAAGGGAAAAAGACGGGCTATAACAAATTTACCAAACCTTTTGAAGTTTTACCACAGGGAAGAAACTGGAAATATTGACAATGAGTAGGCGACATTTATGTAGAAGCTAGAAAGTCCCTGTTGCTCATGCTGTGAACTTTGCTTTGTTTTCTGAAAATTTTTCATTTGCATATGGCTTGACCTTAGCCTGGTTTATGGGTTTAGTTAAACCTTTCTACCAAAAAAGGTATTTCAAACTTTGAACCTCCTTATACTCCTCAGGAAATACATTCTCCCACTACTTTGGCTACATTTGCATTATCCCGTTTGCACACAAAAGAAACCGCTAGAAATGAATGGCATTTTGACCAGCAATGTTCATGAAAAACTTGGGATTATATAGAACCAACTTTTGCAACTAAACAACAGTGCCAAGATTGAACAAGGAGATGGCGTAAACCAAAATGTAAAGGCTTTTAAACCAGAGCCAACGCCCTATCCTTCAACAAAGCTTCCACTGCTCTTCTACCCGAAACCAGAGCTCCATCAAAGGTCGCAGAAGTTATATAATCGCCACACAAATACAAACCCGGTGCAATGCGAGGGCTTTTCATCAAATCTGTTGGTGGGGATTGGTTGGGTTGGGCAAAACCAATCCGATATGTTCTCAAGTGCCTCCATGACCCAACCATTGAGGCCCCAAACCAACCTGAAAGCTCCCCAATCACCTCAGCCGTTAGATCATCATCACAGACATCCTCAAACAACCCGATCAACGATACGGATACCAAAGCTTTGTTTGGAGGGCTATAAGAGGGAGCCACATTTGTGGCGAAAAACATGTTATTGATGGTTCCTTCCCCTGAACCATTGAGAAACAGGACAGGGTCACCAACCGGGATTTGATCCTGGTCCGCTGAAAAATACAAACAAACCGTACTTCGGGCTGGTTTTCTCTTCGCCGGTTGTTTCCTTCCCGCCAAAATCTTATCGAGTGCTGGTTCTTCAACCGCCATTATTACTCCAAGCTCACTCTTCAGAATTTCGCCACTCTCTAATCTCACGGACGGTGAATTTGAACCTTCCAAATCAACGGAAACCACTTTGGCGTTCAACAGGACTGAATCAGGTGGCAATTTTGCTGCTAATTGGTTTGGAATCTCACCGATTCCTTTAGCGGGAAGAGTGTTATCGCCAAGAGCAAGACATTTGAAGACAAAATCGAAAAGTCTTGAAGTAGTTTCCAGCTCCCTGTCGAAAAAAATCCCGCCAAAGAAGGGTCTAAAAAACCTTCCAATCATTGAATCCGAAAACCCAATATTCTTCAATAATTCAATAGTTGAAACCTCGGTGGCAGTTAGAATTTCCTCGTATGATTTACTCAAAACTCGAGCCCGCGTCAAAGCAATAAGCAGCTTATCGATAACTGACCCAATGGGATTTGTAAGGGACAAAAGGGAGTCCGAGAAATGGCGCAAAGGATCAGCCACCATGTGGAATTGACCATCGTAGTAAATTCTGGCACCAGAGTAAAACTTTTGGAGATTTAACTCATTGTAATTTAGTAGCTTTTGGGCTTCAGGGTAGGCAGTAATGAAGATTTGGAAGCCACGGTCCAAGAGAAAGCCATCGACAACATCAGTCCGAACGCGGCCACCAACGCCATCAGAAGCCTCTAGGAGGAGGAAGGGGATGTTTTCAGAGTTGAGACGGGTAGCGGCGGCAAGGCCGGCGAGGCCCGCGCCAATGACAATGACCGGAGCTGTCTTGAGAACAGGCGGAGGTTTAGGGGCGAGTTGGGTAGAGGCATGGGGAATACTGAACTTGAAGAAGCGATGGGTTCTGTCGGGGGTGGGAGAGAGGAGAGAGAAGTTCGAGGATGGAGAAAGAGTGAGAGGCATTAGTTTGTTTGGATGAGGTTGCTGTGCATTTGTCCACACATCTTTTTAGTTTTGAAGGTGATTCTAGCCGAACGTGCCTTACCCATTTCTGTTCTGATAATAAAGGTATCTTTAAATGGACACATTGAAATGCTTCTACCAATCATGAATGACGAAACCAGGATAATGTAACCGGTATAGAAATTACCTGGCGTAAAATTGTACTACTATATAGAGATAGAGAACATCAATATAGGAATGACGTAAAAAGATTACAATTGATTAAATTTGTGATTAAAATATTATAATGGATAGCACCTACGGTTCATAACTGAAATGAAAATTCCCAAATCAACTTCTTTTATAGCTATCTTAATTGGCAGAACTTAAAATTAAGTGAAATATCTACGAAGTCGGAATTTTGATAAAATACAATGAGGTGAGCAGTGCAACCAAATACCAATTACAAGAACTAATACATCAAAAGAGAAGCAGGTGCGGGCATTTAAAAACAGGAAAACCGAACAAACAGACTAGTACCTGGAAAGAGCGAGGGAGTGCAATATGATGAACTGAAAATTAGAAACCAACTTTAAATCCTTGACCCTGCAAACCATCCAAATCTATTTGTGGGTTTGGATTGTATTTTCTACAGTAACTGGTATATATGCAGAGCCTCATAGATGCACATTGAAAATTGTTTTGTGGTTCTTGTCAACATTGTGCAGTAAGATGGCTGAGAGTGGGAAGACTTTTTTGCTCAGTGAGTGGGGAGGCTTAAAGTTTTATAGTTTGGTACAATCAGCAAGAAAATATTGATTTTACCTTCATCCCAAGTTGAGAATCAGAGGATTTTTTTCCACGCGTATAAGAGATCATTACTCGGGACAAAAGGCAGAAAACACAGGCAACCTCCTCTTTGTAGCAGGACCGTAGAGAACACTGTCAATATATGCGTGGACGTCCTCCCTTGATGGGGTTTTACCAGGAAGGGATGGCAGGGTAACATCAATGCCATCATCTTGAGGTGACCAGTAGGTCCCATTGGTGAAAGTGGTGGCACCGGCATCAGCTCTGATTAAGGAGGTGGAGGTCTTGTTGGTCATAGGTTTCATAGTGAAGTTAGCAGTCAAGTGGGTATTTTCAGGTTGGACGGTGGAAATGGAGTGGATGATTGTCTCTTCAGGTTTGATGGGGTCGGTGGAGCTTTGGCTTGTGTAATGAGGTCTGGTAGATGTGTCCCTTTGGGCTGTGGTTGCGGCTGTTTCTATGACTGGATGCTGAAGGCGAGATTTAGAGCCATATGTGCCTGACATAGTGCTTGCATATGACTTGTACATCTGTGCCTAGACAACTCAGATAGAAACGCACAATGACCCTCTAGTATTTAATTGCATCAATGTTTTGGTGTATGAATATTTCAGATACTATCTCATAGATGCTAACCTCGGATTTGCTCCTGAATGGGAAACAAGTGGGACGTTCCTCTTCCTTTCCATGCATGAACTGCAAAAGATTTAAGGCTTTCTTCAATATTTAATTATTTAGTGAAAAATAAAACACTTTCCAAGGGTTCAATCAAGCAGGAAACAGGGTTGTTGCAGTGCAAAAAGTTGGGTCAGCTTAAAAAAAGTTAGTTTCGATGAAAAGCCGGGACTATATAACGTCTTCACTGGAAGAAATCATTATAGCAATGCGAATTGTACAGCTCACCAGCTTCTAATATCAGCAAGAACAGGACAATTGAAGTTTCAAGGTTTGAAAATTAACTTCTTCGCTGCTGCTAGTACTAGAAAATGCGCCTCATATTCAGTTGGCCTCTAATGACTTTAAGCCATCCTAGTTCCCACCTAAAAGGACATTCACTTTCTGCAATATTGAATCGTTTTTCTCGGAGTCAAATCGATGACTTTATAACTTTCTCAACCTATTTCCTCCCATAAGAATACTAAAGAAAGAGACCACTATCCATAGTCAACACATGCAAATAGACCAATTCACATAGTCAACAAATGCAAATAGACCAATTCATCACCATTCACAAATATACTCCAGTCTCCGTGAAACAGGTGCCACAGACAGATTTTTACAGCTCAAACACACTAAATCATCAATTACATAGACAGCGACACCAAAATAAAAGAGCTAGACTAAGGTCAAGCAAGTGAATTTATAAGTTTTCCCGTCCTTTTCCTAAAGTTCAGAATAAAGTGTTGTTCCTCTAACCTCCTCCATTTTGCAGAAGGTTCAGAAAACTAAATAGAAAAATTAAATCTATTCAGAATAAAAGCAAAATATTGACACTTCGTATCCGAAAATTCACAAGGCTAAAGAGTAAAGACCCAACGTTTCAAAACAAACACAGAGTTATCAATACCTTACTCCAAACAACATTTACCTAATCAAGAAATCCAAGCATATTCGATTACCTGACACCTGGATCCGAACCGGCAATGGCCAAACTCCTCCCAAGCCCTGCAAACTTCTGATTTGTAAAAACCAACACTTCCTGAAGAAGGGGAACCGGGTCGTACAATATTGGTGTCAGAAGCAACAAGAACTCCGTCCATGACGAGCACATCCTCCTCCACCACGTTCAGTGGTGTCTTATCCGACTGTGGCGAAAGTGATGATCTGAAGCTGCTTTTCCCGGAAGAGCTGTTACCACTACTGGACAGAGAATTGGAGCGCAGGTACTTTATGAGGTTCTCTGGTGATGAATAGTAGTTGGCACGGATTCTTGCTGGAATCATCAGCTTCGGAATGTTGCTGTTCAGGACGTTCAGTTTGTTGCTTTCTTTGTAGAATGAGTCCATTGAGATTGATTTTCTGCATTTTGTATTTGATCATCAATTATGAGCAAAAGAAAATGTGGATTATTTTTGGAAATTTAAATGCTATATTTACGGATGTTCAATTAAGCCACAGAGTTTATACATTTCTTTTTCTTTTTCTGTTTTCGAACTTTTTTAAAAGTTCCAATTCCCGCCAAAAAAAACAGTTTATGATCTGTTTTTGGCGCAACAGAATCAAATGGATCGATTGGACCGAATCATACTCTTCGCTGAATTCAATTTTCACGTAACAAGGGAGAAATATACAATGAATGATGAGTTGAAAAATCTCAAAGCAGAGAAAAGAAAATCGAAAGAGATCAAGAACATTAAAACCGAACTGTATAATATAAAAAATGAAAGTAAAGGAGATGATCAAGAATCCAAACAGATATAACAGCGCAATTCATACAATTCGATTCCAAACCTAAAAAGATAAAAAAACAAAAAAGAATTCGCATGCAATCATCGAAAACTAAAAGTTGGAAGTCATTATAATCTATATAAGCATGCAAATGGAGAAAGAAATTAAAAAAAAGTGACGTAAATACCTAAAAGGCAAGAAAATTCCAAGCTGAAATGCGAATGTTGAATCTTCTATCAAAAGAGGAAGTAAAAAAAGATCAAATTTTTGGATTAAATCTTGAAAGTAAACAGCCAGCTCTATGGAGTTTTTCGACTCTCATTTTTTAAAATTGCAGAGAAGAACAGAGAGTGTTGCGCTTTGAGAGTGAGAGGTCTGTTTCTGTTTATATACATACGAGCGGGAAGAGGGAAGAGGGAAGAGCGAATAGAGCTAACTGATCCGAGACCATTTGCGCAAAAGAGAACTACACGCTTGGATTGGATTGAACCCACTGCGATGCGGGGCCCACATAAGACTACGGTTTGGCCTTTTACGGTATTTCGTTCTCCGGGGAAGGTTTTTTTTTTTTTTTTGAAAAATATTTATTTTTTCAAAAAATATGAATTAATTACGTAGTATTTTGAATTTTTTAGGAATTAAATTAGAATCGAATACGTGTTCAAATGGAACCGGTTCAAATTAAATTTCAAAAGTTTGGACCAATTGGGTTCTTCCACTTTCTAAAAATTAAAATGATTTTAATCTATAAATGTTATTTTTAGTTTATTTACTTAACGAAAAATAAAATAAATTTTATTTTTATAAAAAAAATACAATCCTTTTCGAATTGAACAATTTGAATTTTTACACCACTAATCGAAAATCAAAGGGAATCGAATATGATAAAACCTTTATTTGAACCAAACTGAATATTAGAGTTCAAATTAGTTTTTGATTTTGTCGATAGTCCTGGGTGGACAATACATAGCTTTGTTATCAGCTTATTAATCCATCAGGGTAAGGGCACAAACCAGAGTGGGCAAGGCTTCCCGCTTAAGGAACAAAATCTGCCATAGACTCTTCTTGCCTTGGATTAGTAGCATGCCATTCTAAGGCAACAATTATGGGGAGAAATTCAACAAAATCGGCATTAGGAACATTGCTTAGAACTACTAATTGTTGGAAACGCAAACCTTACTCAGAGGAGAAGATCTAAACTCATCAACAACAACAAAAACAACTAGGCCAATAACAGACACATAGCCATGGTCTATTAAACCTTTTTTAAACTTAACAAATTACACCACCCTGCATCACCGGTCTAAAGCTGTGCTTCTTAGGATAGTTTTGGAGGCTACTCTGGACAGCAAACCAGATGATAAACACATGCCTTGGTAAAAACATTACTATGACAATGATACCCCTATTAATCAACACAAACTATATATACTCTGTCATTCGACAGCAACCAAATCTTATAAACATTTCCACAGTCGAAAAATAACCTAAAACCCCAAACTAGATTTCTACAAGTCAAAAGTAATTTTGACTTCAAATTCCATCAATGGGATTCTTCAAATTCCCACCAAGCAAGGACATGAGACCCCCACCATGGACCCTCCCCTCCGGAATCATAAAGTCAAAGCTTTTGTTGCCAACACCCCCACCAATGCCCATGCCATACCCATTTCTTCCTTCCACTTGCTTCTCAGCACCCAACAAGCTTGAGTGAGAGGACGAGGATTTCATAGATAAAGGAACCAATACCTGAGGCGGTATGAGATGTTGCCTTCTTGCTGGCTTTTCCAGTGAATCAATACAATCAGAAATAGCACTTGTCCCTGAGGATGAGTGATTGTAGTCAAAGCTGCTTCCTGTGGTTGATGCTGCTGATACAAGCCCATGGAAGACTCCAGGTGCAATGAGCCCTCCCTTGCTTGCCTCTCGCTCTTGCACCATACTGCTGTGAGCAGCACACAGACCACTCCTGCCCCTTGCAAATTTCTCACATTTGCCCTCCCCCCAGGAGCATCTTTTTCCCCCGCCATGGGCCTTGCAGAAGTCCGTGCTTCCTTGGGCACTCTTGCCACAGTTCTCAAACTTGCATCGCTTTCCACCACCATGCCTGACACAACAATCAGTGCGACCACGTGCACTCTTTGTACAGCCAGGCACTACACACCTCTTCCCTCCACCATGGGCAACACAAAAATTGGTGCCTCCATGCACACTCTTTGGACAAATGCCACCACCATTGTAGAGGCAACGCTTTCCCCCACCATGTCCTTTGCACAATGGTGTGCTCCCTTCAGCCCCTTTGGAACACCCTGCAAATATACAACGTTTACCACCACCATGAGCCTTGCAATACATAGTACTTCCCTGAGCACCCTTAGTACATCCCTGGAACTGGCAACGACGTCCACCTCCATGAGAGATGCACAAACCAGCCTGCCCTTCAGCACTGCGTGTGCAACCTTCCACTTTACACCTTTTTCCCCCACCATGCCTAATGCAAAGCCCTGATTTACCTCGTGCAGCCTTTGCGCACCCTCCAGGAAACCCACATCGTCTGCCTCCACCATGTGCTATGCAGAGTTCTGTCTTTCCCTCCGCACTTTTAGTGCAACCCAAGTGCTGGCACCTCCTCCCTCCACCATGAGCCTTACAGTAGGCAGTTCGGCTCTCAGCACCTTTGTTACATCCTGGTTTTTGGCATCTTTGACCACCCCCATGACCAATACAAAGACCAGATGCCCCTCTTGCTCCTTTTGCGCAACCAGCAAACTTGCATTTCTTCGAATTGCTAGTTCGGTTATCCGAAGACGTCATGGTAGTGGTTTGCTCAGAGAGTGTGTCTACTGAGAAATCTGTCTGAGCAGAAGGCTCACAACTTTGATGAAATTGATGACAATGAGATTTAGCTCCAAACTGAAAAAGTTCTTGCGTCTGCACCAAACCTTTGCCACTATCCATTCTTGGAGCCAACAGGAGTGATGGCATATAGCCACCAGATTTCTTGGCCGAAGTAGAACCCTCATCAACAACAGGTACTGAAAGTCTGCTATCTGCAGAAACCTGGTTTGAAAGAGGCATACTGGCATCAGTTTCGGTTGAGAGAGAACATTCTATCAGACTCATACCTTCCTTAGTCCCTCCAGAAAGGCCAAGTTTTAGGATTGAGTCATCCTCAGGTGACAAGCCCTGAGTGAAAAAAGCTCCTGTCGATTTGTTCTTGTTGAGACCAACATTGTAATAATTATTGCAGTATACACTTGGAGTTGGACCCAAACCCAGAACCAACCTGCAGCCATCATCAGGTGCATTAGAAAGATCAGCATGAAGATTGCTTTGAGTACTTCCAAATCTGGCCTTGTTGGTTCCTCCGTAGCCAAGAAAGTTCAGACATAAGGTGGTATCACCAAAATTTTCATTTTTTGCGAGTTCAGACAGATGAGAAAACTGTACATTCTTGTTCAAATCCATATTCTTTCTAGATTCTGTGAACTATAGCACTAAGGAAAAGAAGGCCAACCTTAAAGAAAAATCTTTAATACATACTACTGACTGGTATATATATCAGAAACAAAAAAAGAAATAGCAGAAATTCCAATTGTGTTCCTCCTCCACTCACAAATCCAGATGTATCTGCTCGGTCCATCTTATCAAGTATCTATAACAACAGCACGGACTTCAATTATGCAAAAGCTTAGTTACTGATGTATCTGACAACGTTTCTAGGATAAAATCCTTTTATAAGAACATTCAAAGTGGATGCAAAGAGATATCTGGAGCGTCTTGTGCTCCTTATTGACAGATAGATTGGCTTCATTAACCCTGAAAATGAAGTAACACAATCAGGCATTAATTAAAAGCCATTTAAGTATATAATAAATAATACCAATACCACAGCATTAATCAGATGTTCCAACATTAAAACTTAACTGGCATTTCAATTGCAGAATTTTCTTGGAAATCAAATCAACAGGACACAACCTCCAGTACATTGCACAAGACCAAACATACTCATAGCCACCCTGTTTTAAGAGACACTATCTACAATTTCAGCGCAGACGTAGCCATCTACACTGTCTAAATGACAATTCAAAATCATGGACAGGTGAGGCCCTCATCAACACTAGGGTATGGACACAGTTACACTAAAACTGAAAATTGAATTCCGAAGTTCCAAAAAGGTGTTAACACTCAAACTATTAAAAAAAATATTCCCCATCTAAGCTAGGAACCTGTGTTATAAGAAATATATCTACAAATATCAATTAACTAGCAAAGTTCAATGCAGACTTCTAATATTATATTTAACTTTAGAATTTCTTTTAGAGCTCTTTTTTTTTATCGAAATCCTTTTCTACCAGATTTATTTATGCCCAGCAGACTGAAAAAGCAGATCATGATAGAGAAAAAGTCTAATGAATATATTTTTAAAAGTTCATTACCTAAAAATTAGTACTTGTACTGAAAACCTAAAGAATTGTGTACTTCAAATAGCCTTTACTGTGAAGTGGAAACACATAAAATTCTAATAATGTGAAATGGCCATAACACTTTATTTGTTACTTGAGCTGTGAAATAGAAGAAAAAAGTTAAAAGCCAACATAAAATTGTAGACAAGACATCAACTTCTTTTAAGTTGTTGAAGATAAAGATAAAAAATTTTCTCTAAACTTGGATAAAAATTAACTAAAATATTGCAGCTCCACAGATTAACTTTTTACTTAAAGCTAAAATAAATGCAAATTATTTTCCACTCATTAATCAAAAATCAAAAGATCACAATTATTATTAACAGACGACCATCTATCTAGCCTGACAGTCTATGGTTAAGATCTAATACGTTAGATTCTCTATTAAATGTTCAACTTTGGTGACCAGCAACAAGTTCATCAATCATCACCAAAAACCTTGGAATTTAGATATCAACATCATCTTCTAGAATCTATGGCATTTCATCTAAAATCCCCAATCTCTTCTATTAAAAGAAATGTTCGCATACAGTGATAAATACAGAGCAAGGAAAAAAAAGAATAAAGTTAACAGAGGAAATCATAGAGAACCGTCTATTCACAAGAACTACAGCCACAATCACAAACTTTCATCTCAAAATAGTAGATCTAAAACTACAAATCCCACAAACAACTCAATACTTAAGCTTCGAAACTAAAAAAGAATCACCCAAACACAACACAAAATTAAAACAAGCATCTGGGATCCATGCAAAAATCAATAAAAAAAACAACAGCAGCTATCAGTCGAGCAAGCTAATGTTTCAAAAATTAATTAACTTAACCATCATAACTCAAAAATCAGATCAGATTATTTAGTGTATAAAAAGAAAACAAGCCTAGAATAGTTTTCAGCCACGTAACAAACTTTCTGTCCATATTAATATTAATACAAAAATCCAATAACCAAAACAAGGAAAATTCACCAAATTTTCTTCTTTAAATGATTAAACATAACATACAAATAAGACAAATATAAATATAAATATATGACAGTTCAAGAACATGCATAGATAGCCCAAAACCCTAACCCTTAATTAATTTCCTGAAACCATGGAAATACAACGTATATGAAACACATAAGAAGTAAAGTTACCTCAAAAAAAAAAAAAAGAAAGCTATAAACTCGGACTTGAGACCATAAATTAATGTAATTAAATAAGAAACTGTGAACTAATAACCAATAAAACGATTAAGCTGAAAGGAAATGAAAAGAAATTTGGAGATATACCGTGAAGAAATCCAAATTTAGATAGAGTCTGGAGAGAACTAAAGGATCTGAGAGGCGGCTAAAGACATGTTAGGAGAGCTGGAGAATCCTTAAACAGAGAGAATAAAATTTGGGTACGAATAAAAGAAGATAACAAAGCGTTAAAAGAGAGAGAGAAAAAAAAATGGAGAAGAAAGATACTGAAACGGGAGTGGGCTATAATAAATAATTAAAGGGCAAAACTTGATACGGGCGGCTCTGGTTTTTTCCGTTAACAAAAAGGAAACCTATTTTATTTTTTAATAATTACGTTTTTTTTGTCTTTTTATGAACATATTAATAAATTTCTTTAAAAAACATTAAAATGCCAAAATTAGCCTCGATTGTCCGTAAGGAAGAGACTGGTACAGCCTTGCAGGACTCCCGATTTGGACAATGAACGCTTTCTTTTGAAAGGGACGTTGTTTCTTAAAGTCTAAATTACCCTTATTCACGGACCGACCTTGGGCGATTGTGGAGGGTAAAGATGTCACTGGGAGGGGTTTTAATTTTACGTTTTTTTCTTTCATGGGAATTGTCTCCCTTCGACGGCGAACGAGAAGAGTAACGAGTGGCCGAGGCGAAAGGGCGTCGTGGAGTGCCCTTATCACTTTTCCAAGCTCCCGCAAACCGTCAAATGCGCTGCCAAGAATCTGCTCCGCTGTTGTGCTCATTGAGCAGCTGGCCAGCTTGTGAGTTGACGTTTGCATCGGCTTACTTGGGTTCGCCTGCGCCGGTATTTTAACCTAATTTTCTTTTATATACAACGTTTTATAGATATCAAATTATTGGCCGATGGAACCTTCCGCTTTTACAAAGCACCTTGGTTGAATACTTTGGACCCGCCATTTATATTGATCTATACTTCATCTTTTTCCACCATTTAAGATATCTCTCTACAAACATGACCTAGAATTTAAAGTCATAGTAAAATCATTATGGAATTTTGTTTTAACAACAAATTAATAATCCAAATTTATAGCCTTGAACCTTTTTCATTTAAAATAATGATAAGTTTGTTGCCTTAATTAACACTGTCGAAATTAGAAATTGTCTACCATGTAAAGCTCATAAAACTTATATTTCAGCTTTCTGTGCACGGAATTAATATGATTTTAATGTAAACTAGATAAGAACCTCTAATGATATATAGTTTATTAAAAATATATATAATTTGTGAATTTATATTTTTTAAAATAATATTTAAAAAAGTTTTTAAATTATTTTAAGAAATTTAAATAAATTTTTATATTTTTATTATGTTTAATTAAATTTTTATATTTTTATTTTAAGTCAAATAAGTTTTTATATTTCTAATTTAAGTTAAATAAACTATTATGACTGATAATTAATTTAATTAAAATATCATTTATTATTTTATATTGTATGAAGTTCATGTGATATATTAATATATCGTAAATGATGATATTGTAAAATTTTGATATATCATAATTGATAATAACGTGACATGTTAATTTACTACAATAATATGATCATGTGATATTTTTTATTATTTATATTAACATCATGTCAATGTCATATGAATATAAAATAATAAATAATATTTTAATTAATGATAATTAGTTATAAATGCTTATTTATTTCAAAATAAAAATACAAAAACTTGATTTGATGTAATAAAAAAATAAAATTTTGTTTAAATTTTTTTTATATAACTTAGGAGATTCATTTGAATATTATGCTAAAAGAAAATTTAACATCAAACACAACAAAAGCAACACACCATAGTCAATTGATAAAATCATATCCCACATCCATAGCTTTCTAGACTCTGATCAGCATGGAAAATTAAGCATGAACATTTGTTTTTGGTCAAAATTGCAATTAAATGGTGTGTATTGAGTCTTGACTGATAAAGAGTTTGATGCAACAAGGACTGGTAGGTCCAGGCAGAGAGCCGCAACATTAATTCTACTTAAAACTAGGGTTATAGGGCATAGGTTGATTAATGATTAACTTTGCTTAATTGTTATATCATAATATTCAACAAGTCAATATTTTGACTTTTCGTAGTGATATATTTATAGGCACGTAGCACAACTTTCTAACACGTAAATTATCTAAATTCTGTTGGCTGTACATTATAAACACATTAAATAAAGTTGGAATAGGAAAAAGTAGATATCCTAATCAAATATCATGTGGAAAAAAAAATCAACGAATTACAAATAACGAAGACGGGAGGAATGACATGAAGGTTACAAAAATTTTAAGTTCATTTGACTTGTTTACAAAAATAGTTTTATTTTAGAAAAAAATGAATTGTTTAATAAATATGATGTATGGATGTTTAATGTGAAATTTTTTTTGTTATTTATATTCCACTACTGGTTTACTTGGTAAATTTACAATCTTGTCATACGAATTAAAGATCAATTATTTAATAACTTTACATTTGTCTTTGTTTTCTTTTTATACATTTACTTAATTTTTTTTTAAAATAAAAAATATTAAATTATATATAATTTAAAATTAATTGATAATAAGTGAAAATACCCTTATTCTATATATATACTCAATATATATTTAATTTAACGAATTTGAGACTATCATCACTTTAATACTCTTTTTATAAATCACACATTTATTATATGATATGAATCACAAAAGGAACTATAATGGGGCAACACCCACTCTGACATCATGTTAATTTTTTAAAATAGATATTTTCTTTAAAACCACTTAACAATAGATGAAGAAACTCCTGCTATATTTATATATATTGAATATCTTCAATTTACATGGTTTATTCTCTAACTTAAAACCAAATAATAATATGTGAAGGGATTCTTATTATATTTATATACCTTCAATATCTCTAATTTAACAAATATGATTTATCACTACTTTAATCCTCCTTATCATGTATAAACAATATAGATTTATCAAGTGAAATGATTTAACAGAAGAGAGTTTATAAAAGAATCAACAAATCAGAATGTTTTAATATTATATTAAACTTTTAAAATAAATATTTAATTTAAAATTAATTAAAATTATTATATTTATATATTAAAATTATTTTTAATTAAAAATTTACGAGACCATCGACGCTCCAATAAAAACTCAGCCATTAATCCAAGAGGGAACGAAATTTTCTAGCCGATGCGTTTTCTAATTAAATTATAGAGCACGCCAAAATAAATAGAGAATAATAAATAATTGTGTAAAACCGACAATATTTGTTAGGACCACACATGGCTACTGCCAACTTGACAAACACAAGCCAGGTTCAGAAGCCGGCTGGGCTCGAAGCCCGACAGCAGAAAAAGGGTCTGCCTGTGACGAGGGCATGCTGTTAGCGTGCCTTCACTGCCAGTTCGCTGCATCCAACAAAGTGTCATTAGCGGGAATCTCAAACTGCACACTTGGCGATCTCCCATTGGTCCGGACGACAATTATTGGGGAATTCCCGGAATGGAAATCTGTCGTTGTTTTTAAAAGAGCTAACTGCCTATAAAAGAGCCTTTCGCATCCGCAGCGGTGCCGCGTTTCGAGCGCGGGCGCCTACAGTTGAGGCCGTAGACCTTTTCCAACCTCAGTACTAGTGATAGTAGTAATAATTTTTTAATTAATGAAGGGAGGGGCGGTGGTCTGGATTGAGGTATGATGAATCTTTTTGCTTCCATCTCAAATATTCTACACCATTATTATTTTATTCTCAGCGATTCACACTTGAGATAAAAACGATTTATTATAAAGTTGTCTACATTTATGCTTTCTTGTGCTTCTCACGTGTTGACAACTTTGGGTATGTGTTGGCCACCATCCCAACTCCCTTTTTTTTTGTTTTTTTCTAAATTATTTAATTTAAATTTTATATATTATGACCTTTTGGAGGTTTCATATGGATGCATATATATTTTTTTCTTAAATAATTGAAAAGGAAAAGAATTCTACAGTAATTGACCCTTAGATGGAGCTTAGGGGGAAAGGACGGGTTAAGAAACGACAGTGGAAACTTATAATGGGGACAAAAAAGCAATTAGGAGCCAAAATCGATGTGCTGCCAGGTGTTGGAAAGTGAGTAGAAGACGCAACTGTCGCTCATTGGAGGCCTTCGCAAAATGAATGTGTGACGCCCCAACAACGCCACGGAGCCCACAATGCCAAGGAATCTCCGTTGCTATCAAACTTTACGAATTCATGATCCTGTGCGCTCACGCATATCAAGAAAAATCCTTGCTGGATTTTTATTGGCTTTGATTTGTGAAAGTTCGCTGCGATAAAGGCCAAGTTGTTTGACTTTTTTACATGTCAGAGGAGCGAGAGGACGCACAGGTCTCATACTTAGAAAGAACATGCCAAATGTCGATGCTTTGTAAACTCATGGTTCGGCACCAAAAGGTCCAAAACCAGGATTATGTTTAGGGTGATTTAGGCAAACCCGTCATTGCTGCAAAGCTGATGACCAAATTACAAATCTAGCCTTTATATTTGCATAAAGAAAAAGCAACCCTTTTTGGTTTTTTGTCGTCATTAATAAGATAGTTTATTTTCTATGACTATGACCGTCCACAATTTATCCATATTTCAATTTGTAAATTATTCATTTGTCGTCCAATATTTTAATTTTTTTGTTTTTATCATTTTATTTTTAAAACATTATATTTTAATTATTTATAGGTATAAAAGTTAATATTTAAATTACTCACTATTAAATATTAATAATTGTATGACGTAATTTTTTCACATCAATTGACTCTAAATTTGTGATATATTTATATCTATTCATTGGTCACCTAATTAGCATAAAACATAATCTAATTGTTAATTTTTAATAGTTAAGTAATTCAAATACTAATTATTTTACCAATTGTGATAAAATTATAATTTTTAAAATTGAATAATTAAAATAAAATTTTGAAAAAGCTAAATGACTAAATGAATAATTCTATGTTGTTTAAATTGAAATTCAACAGTGAGATATTGAAACCACGAGACCTACTGATGTGTGAAACTATTGAATAAACACTATAAATTAAAATGTATAAAATTTTCCAAAATTATTATTGAAACAATTTTTTTACACACAAGTACCATGAAAATAAATTTTATACAATCAAAAGTTCTCTTATGTTTAGCATTATATTATTTTAATTAATTAATTAATTTTGTATAGGTATTTTTATGTATTTGTCATGAATCAAA